AGAGATGGTCCAAAGGGTCCATTCGAGTGATAAGAGCAGAGAGCTTCAAGTACGAAGTGCCACCACATGATGTAACTACGCTTGAATCGGACCAATTTGGTCTGAAGCTTGTCGGGAAAGGATGCTTCAGGACAAATGCCGAAGGAGGAAGGAGTGAGTTTGTGCACAACAGATGAACTCTCCTCAGATGGACAGTGAACCCTCCGTACGAAGAAGGTCCGGAGGACTACGTGGGGCCAGCGCTGAGCATATAATAAATTCTTGAATATAATACAATTTATACTATTATTAACATTTGAAGCAGAGGAAATGTTTTACATTAATTTATGTTGATTTGGCATAGATACTATTTAATTGGACAAACACGTGTTTTGATTACAGGCACGGCCTAGAGAAAGAAGCTGTATGTTCTTGTGCTGTTACAGGGTATTACCCTGTATGTTATTACCGTATGCTCTCTGACCTTAAACTACGTGAAGCTCTTGTGTTTTTGCTATTGGCCATTTTTGTTCGTGATTTAGCTTGGTCGGCTGATTTTCTATGTAAAGCTTGGTTTACCACAATGTAAGTACGTCTGATAAGTCAATTGTGGATTGAAGCTGTCTCATAAAGACACTGCTCATCTATGTAGCCAGTACACTACTGTTTTGCAATATTTCTTTACAGTACATATAGATGCAACTGAAGTTAGTTTTATGTGCAAGTATCTGAAGCATGTCCACCCCATCTGTGACAGTATTCTCTATTTTTATGTTGTAGTTTTTTCACCATTTGGTCAAGTGGTCACACATTAAAGACAGACGGTTTAGCTGACTGCTATTTATGAATACTGGATGTTCCATGTTCTTTTTGAAGAGGCAGTACAGTGAAAAAAATTATATCAAGCCACAGCTAGTAAACGGAGGTTGTGTGTGATACCACAGGCATAGAACAACGTCTCCCGTCACGTGATACTGACAACGGTCGCCGCCTATAAGGCATAAGACAACGTCTACCGTCACGTGACACTGACAACAGTCGCCGCCTACACGGTATATGCAGACATGCACTCTTCAGAGAATCAGGACTCACAAGCACCCGAGTCAGAATCTAGAGTTCGCACACTCACGAATCACAGTAGCGATCGACGTAGTAGATCCAGTGGAGATACTACGGCCAGTAGAGTATCCAGTGTGGCTGGACATCGCGCAAAGGCTGATGCTGCTCGCGCGAAGGCGATCTACGCGCATAAAGAAGCAGAAATAAGGAGACGTCAACTCAAGATAAAAGAAGAAACAGACCTGCTGCAGGTCGATCTTGATGTGTTACGCAGTGAGAATGAGGCAGCAATGGCGGAGGCCGAAGCTAAGGCACACGAGACATTTACTGGTAGTCAAGACAACCTCTCCAAACTTCCAGACCTCGGATGGGCATCAATGTGGAGTTTCAGAGCAGTGCTGAGCGCACCAGGAGATATGCAGCAGAACACGATGCTTCTGATATTCAGAAGGAGAGAGACACGCTGGACAAGATACCTATTTTGCAGGCACAGTTGAAGCCAGAGAACTACAACGTAGTGAGATCTGATATGTTTCGGCCGGAGGGACATCGTACCAGATTGAGCTCCAGAGCGACTGAATTTCATCCGAGGGGTATCCAGCCTGACATCCCCGCAAATGTGACAGAGTCACCAAACGCTGTGCACACGGCTACAGACCTTACACGTCTTTTGTTAAAGACGGAACTTTTGGGTTCACGTTTGATTAATTGCAATGATCGTCCGGAGTCTTATGCCTCTTGGAAAACGACTTTTAGGAACGTCACACAATAGTTACAGGTAACTGCTATAGAAGAGCTCGACCTCCTTGTTAGGTGGCTTGGTCCTGAATCCTCGGGGCAGGCACAGAGTCTGAGAGCGGCAAGTCCATTGAACCACGGAAGAGGCCTTCAGCGTGTGTGGGAGAGACTGGATGATAGGTATGGTGCTCCCGAGAAAGTGGAAGCGGCCCTAAAATGGCGACTTGAGAGCTTCTCAAGGATTACAGGTAATGATAATAAAAAACTGTATGAACTCTCTGATATTATGGCAGAGATCGAGGCACTGAAAGAAGATCCTCAATATCAGGCAGTCATGGCATATTTTGACTCATCATCTGGGATCAATCCTATAGCAAATCGACTCCCATACGAGATGCAGGAGAAATGGACAACGTCGGCACAGAACTATAAAAGGAAATATGGCGTCACCTTTCCACCATTTTATCATTTCGTGGAATTTATTCGAGAAATCGCACATGTGAAGAACGATCCGAGTTTCCTGTTTGAGAGTTCTTACGCCACAACAGGAAGAAAGGACAAGAATTCAATTAGGATCTTTCAGTCTGACATGAGACCCTTGACAACCAGGAAAGCGGAGATCTCTGATGACAAAGTCGAGGTTGACCCTGAAAGGTTTTGCCCGATTCACAGGATGAGGCCTACCCTCAACCAGTGCAGGAGCTTTAAACGCAAGCCTATATATAAACGAAGGAAACTCTTGAGGGAGTTTGGCATCTGCTTCAAGTGCTGTGCTTCCTCTAAACACGCCTTTCGCGATTGTAAGGAGGCTGTTGAATGAGTCGCATGAACGTCAGCCAACTAATGGCGGGGAGTATGGCTGATTGATTAGATATTATTCATAGTCATAGTCATGATTAAGTCCATTGTAAAGCTGCAATCCACAATTGACTTATCTGACGTACTTACATTGTGGTAAACCAAGCTTTACATAGATAATCAGCCGACCAAGCTAAATTACGAACAAAAATGGCCAATAGCAAAAACACAAAGCCTCACGTAGTTTAAGGTCAGATGGCATACGGTAATAACATACAGGGTAATACCCTGTAACAGCACAGTTCTAATGAGGCAAGGAAATCATTTGAGTCGGCGTCGCATTCATTGCTAGATGATGTCAACCGAAGACAGGTGGCTGATTATGTGGAGTACACAGTTGATGTGGCGAATCGACACTACGTGCACAAGGATGCGGGGCAGGTAGCCAAAGCTGCCTCCTTGTTGGATGGGATGTTGTAAGTACCACTTGTTTTTTTATGTCTATATCCACAGTAGTATATTTCTATTACAGTAATAATTGTCACCTCGGTATTTAGATAAAGGACTTGTAATATAGACAATTAGATAGTTTTTGTCAACTCGAAAAATATATCGTTGCTCGAGATAACCAACAATAACATAACAAACTAGAGCACTCGGAGAGCGCAGACCTCCGCCAAGACAGCTCTGTGAAAAATTTAATTAATTAATTAATTAATTAAATAATTAATTCCATCCGGATCACCACCAAAATGTAATCAATTCTAAGTCACTCCATTTCTGACCTATCCTTAAAATTTAATTAATTAATTGAATTGGGATCACCACCAAAATGTAATCAATCGTAAGTTACCCCATTTCTGACATATCCTGAAAATTTTATTAATTAATTAATAGAATTGGGATCACCACCAAAATGTAATCAATTGTAAGTTACCCCATTTCTGACCTATCCTGAAAATAGTATGACAATCAGTCCATAACTTTTTTAGTTAGGCTGTGCACAAACCCACAAACCAACAAACACACGCCAGTGAAAACATAACCTCCTGCCAACCCCTTGGCGGAGGTAATTAGATAAGATAACCAACAATACTCTGCAGAACCACGGAACCAGAACAAGGGAAGAGCGAGGCAATACCCGTCAACGTATTCTCGTCTGGCCCAACGACATCATGATGCTGCAGGCCAAAAAATGTAATTATATTTAAACTTGAATATTCATATTTCCAACATAAGTGTCTCTAGCTATGAACTTTATCTGCGACATATTTTGGGTATTTTTGATAAAACATACCTATCCTTTATTTCTGCAAAATTACAGAAGGACCGTCAACATCGTCATGTGGGATGCTTCGTCTGACAGCAATGCAGACGAAGCTGCAATCGCAAAAAGGTGTGCTTGTAAATATAAATGTATGACCAATGAAGATAATATAAGCTACAGTATTATAGGGCCCGCCCTTGCATGCACATGAACACACATGCGATGATGCGCACACAGGCATACACACGCACGCACGCTCTCACGCACACACTCACGATCACGCACACAGACAAATGCAAATGCACACCCACACACGCGCTTTGAGAAACAGACGCATGCCCATCATCCATCAACAACGCACATGCCCATGCACACAAACAAGCACATAAAACACAATATCTTAATGTTTCAGAACCACAGAGCAAGAAGGAACGGCACAATCGCCATCATCAGGAGAAGAAACGGTTGAAGCTTCAGCGAGAAAAAGGTGATTATTAATGCAACTTAACAACACGATGTCATAATTTGTATATGTTTCTTTTTTTCTTTTTTTTTATGGGGATTTAATGGGGTTTCAGTGCTAGATATCAACTGCGTGCAACATTGTGTATGTATTATGCATCAATTATATAGGCTTCTTTCCTTTTATGCTAATATCAATAATTCATAGGAAAGTGGCCTATGATGAGCTTCTAAGGATTGCACATCTAACGGTCGAGGCAGTGCCCCCAAGAGAAAAACATGCAATCACATCTCTCCGGGCGAGGGAGACACTCTATATAACCAATGGTTATATAAGCGATTGAAGATACGACGCAATGAAGTGATAGGCACGTTTTGCTAATGATGCTGGTAGACACCACGTTACCATGTTTCACCTCCTCTAGCTATTTAATTGTCACATGTTGAAGAGGTAATTACCAGGCATTTTCATACACGTTTCAGGACACGTTTGAAATGTTTCTGTACCACAGACCAGGTTTCTTTTTAGGAAATGTTCACTTCATAATAATACATGAAAGCAACATTTTCTTTATCATTCATTATGAAATTCGTTTATAGCTGCATTTCCACGAGTCCGGCCTACGGAAAAGCGCCTCATGAAGACACTGATGAAAATGGGCTCGCACCAAAAGCTAGTCGATGATGTGCTATCCTCATGGATACCGACGATGACTCTCAGAACAACGACTTCCGGGCAAAACCAACTGGCAAAGTACAAAACTGGCCCGGGTTGGGAATACACCATTCGCATAAAGGTATAGGGCTGATTGTCACAATGAATTTTAAACAAGGAGAGGTAATATGTGATTACCACGGCAATCTGATCTCGCATGAACAAGGGTTACAACGTCAGAATTTGTGCCATTTGTTTCATACCAGCGGTAACTTCCTGGGACACCTGGGGCCGGATTCATCAACGTTGTGTAAAGTCGATTGCGTACGCGAAGGTTCTACGAAGTACGTACGCAAAGCCTGTAGATGCAATTCATCAACGCATCGTAGCACCTACGTACGCAAATGTTGATAAATCGCAGTGTTAAATCCCCTACGTCGTCGTAGCAGCTAGTTGTTGATGGGTGTGTCCAGCAGAAACCAATCACACTGTGCGACACACAGCATAGCAACAAAGCCGACGCCTCTCTTGTATGTAAACATGGCGAGCCCATCGAAGAAAAGAATGAGGAAGTTTATCGAAGATGAAATTACTGTGTTACTTGAGGAGATATCGCATAGGCGAGGTGTATTGTTTTCTTCATTTTCAACTGATGTAACTGCCGTTATGAAGAAAAGGGCACGGCAAACCGTGCAATCGTCTGTTAACGTTATTGCTCCTGTACATCGTACAGTTGAAGAGATAACTATACGATCACTGTATTGTTCATTCTATTTAATTAAAAAGGTGCAAATTAACGTTAGCATGGGGCGGGAATGGGTTAAACAGAAAGAGATATTTACTATGCATTATTTGATTTAATAAATTTATAATCCTATTGATTGATTGTGTAGCGTGTTTTCGCGGTAGTTATTTGTAAATTTAAATAGCTACTTAGTACATGCTGGTATAAAAGAATATTTTCTTTTTTTCTACTGAAAGTACAATCCTTAATTATATCAACAATAAAAGTTTTGTAAATTAATTAAATTCACAGTTATTGCTTCAATCCACAAAATGATCATATTGTCTTGTCACCCATGAAAAATGAAATGTATAGCCGTTGCATTTGACATACTAACTGATTCTAGTACCGTCGGAACCAATTATTTATATATTCCTAGAATGGCATTGACATTTTTAAACAAATCGTGATGAACTCTGACTGATGAAATAAGGTAATGTGTTCACAAAGCAATAGACCCCTTGCACGTGACGTCATCAAAACAAAGGCGGCCATGTTGGCATCATTCTGGTGCGACCGTGCGACGTGGTTACAGCGTGGAAAGTTCAGTTTAGAGAGAGCTCCAACATTTTCACACGAAAATGGTGAATTATTGTAGGATAGTCGGATGTACTAACCGATCTGATAGGGAAAAGGATAGGAAATTCTTTCGACTACCTGCTGTTATAACTAATCAAGAAGAACATGAGAAGTGTATCACAGAGGAGAGTGGCCGTCACACCCAGATAGATGTTACTGGACCTCTGTATGACGCAACCTTATCTGAGCTACAGACTCTAAGAACGGAGAACATTGAGTTTAAGAGCCAGAGGAGCACAGCCGCGAGCATTTCACTGAGAAGGATTTTGAGGGAAATGATGAGAAAGTTAAATATTTCACAGGGCTACCGACTTTTATTATGTTACTGACCATATATTCTTCATTGGAGCAGTTTTTACCTAGCTGTTCCTCTCTGTCCAAATTTCAAATGTTCATGATGACGCTTACGAAGTTAAGATTTAATCTGTCAAGCCAATTTCTGGCATATGAATTCAACGTGTCAAGCTCAATTTGCTCAACTGTGTCACGGCTTTTCTCTACTGATGTGAATGTAATGTATGTTAAAATGAAACCCTTGGTGATATGGCCAGAAATTTTAAGAAAAACTATGTCGATGCAGTTTAGAAAGTATTTTGTAACAAAATGTGCAGTAATCATAGATTGATTTGAAATGTTTATTGAAAGGCCTTCTCAGTTAAAAGCTAGGTCTGAACATTTTTCTTCTTACAAGCACCATAATAGGTGAAGTTTTTGTTCGGTATAACACCGCGAGGCACTGTTTCATATATATCAAAGTCATGGGGTGGTCGAACAAGCGACAAGCACATTACAGAAAACTGTGGTTTATAAATAACATTTTGGCTGGAGACTTAATACTTGCAGATCGTGGTTTTGACATTGAATCCATTGTTGGCAGTATGTGTGCTGATGTAAAGATACCAGACATAGAAAGCACAAGGAAAATAGCCAATGTGCAAATACATGTAGAATGAGTAATAGGGTTAGTTAGTCACGTACTACCCGATAACAGATTACACTGGTAAGACATTACGTAGTGATATATTTACAAATGTAATCTATATATGTAATATAGTATAATTATATATTACTGTTTTATCAATATTTTGCCTCTAAATACAGCTCAAGAAAAAGTAGTCTGATTTGAAAGCTGCAGCCAAGAAAGCCGGGGCAGAGTACAAATGGACCATGAACAAAACCGGAGGTGGTCCACCCCCACCACCACTGGACGAGAGGACAGAAAAAATCAAGGAAGTGATTGGTGCTACTGCAACAGAAGTCATCAGTTGTGGAATAGACAGCAGTGAAATGGACATCCGCCACTATCTGTTACACCGTCGTCTAGTCGTGCACCTACTCCTCAATTGCAACCTGCTGCTTCTGCCGCACCAAAATTTCCCCCAGTCGCCTCGTATTCAGTGTCTTCCTTGCTCCAGCCATCCACTTCCTAATCAAGCAAACGTCCTACAACATCACGTAAGAAACCCTTCAGTTAGTATTCTACAGATACAGAGAAAACTACTGTTGAAACTAAGTGAGTTAACTCAGATAGATAGAGAACGCCTTGCGGTAGAGAAGGGTATCCTTGCTGTAATGAAAGCCAAGCAAGGTGATACATATGATGTTGAGATGGAAGGATACGAGTCATATTTTACTCTATATAAAAATAACATGTTTGAAACCAAGTTAACTCAGATAGAAAGAGAACACCTTGCAGTAGAGAAAAAAATACTTGCTGTAATAAAAGCCAAGCAAGGTCATACATATGATGTTCAGATGGAAGGAGACGAGTCATACTTTACTCTATATAAAAATAACGTTTGAAACTATGTTAGCTTCCAGTTAAGAATGTTCTTATACAGTATATATACTATATACTTATATACTAAATTACAGATTACATTCCAAAGTTCTTGTTCGATTGAAAGTTTCCTAAGGCTGGTAGTTTTTAATTTTTTACTTAAAGAATACAGTATCAAGGGAATAACAACAAAAAAGTGCTACAATGTTATAGTTTGAACACATCATTATTATTATTGAAACATTTAGCCAAAAGTAACATTTTTAGAAGTTAAAAAGTATAGCTTTTGCATTTGATATATTTAGTGCAACATTGTTATGCACAAAATTTTAATAATTATGTATATTAATATAATGCAATTTTATTCTGTGATACATTTTGCCAAAGATTGTAAGGTTTTTGTACTTTGTATAGTGGATTATATTCAATATAGTGGATTACGTAGTGGCGAGCGACTTAAGGACCACCCACCCAACCCTGCACATGTTTGCTATTCACTTTCTTATCGTATATGCTTTGGATGACATTATCAATAAAGCTGGTTGGCGAGGGGAGTTGGTCGCTCCCGTGGCGTTGCACTCACGCGACCCACGTGGGCTGTTGCTCGGCTCCGCGAGTCTGCGTGTTTACGAGGGCGGGCCGTTCCGAAGCGTGCAATCATCCCCGACCGCACGCGCAAACGTACGCGTGTTCTGGCTGGGCGCGCGCGAGACTCTCCTCTCCCATCATGTGGCAACAACGTATTCGGTTGTTCGTGTCTATAAGCTGTTTACCGCGCGGGGAAAGTCGGTTGCGCGGTGTAATTCATTTCGCGCGCCGGGGACTTTGGCGCAGACGAGACGTTAAGATAAATAGAAATTTTCAACACTAGCAAAAACGTTCACATCTCAGTTGCTTCGCATACCTTATTTACGTGATGCTTTACAAAATAATTTCCACTGTACATATTAACAAATTACCTTTCATACATGCATAATTATAATGAAGTCGAGATTCAGGATCATAGACAAATCTGGAGGCTGCTTGTTGTATTCACCCAGCACAACATGCAAGATATTTACCACTGTGGCTGTGTTGCACAATGTTGTAATTGCGCACAGGCTTCCAGGAGATGGAGGTGAAGGGGATGTCGCACCTGATCACGACATGGATGAAGGCGATGTCATCTATGACATTGATGCAACTGCAGCCGGTGTTAGGCGCTCCAAATTCGTGTACATTTCGCCTAATTTGGTAAAATCAACCGTTGCCCCAGATAAAATGTTTTACAGAGTGGCTACGCGTAACCGGACGCCCATAATAACAAATTGTTGCATGGATACGCGTGGGTTGCGTTGTTTGTGGTCAGTTGTGTATTTATAAGCTGGCCACATTGGCGCCATTAGTGAGAGACTGTGCAGCATATAAAGCCGTTTATTCCGAAGATGTTTGCTCGCAAACCAAGAAGCCTGTTAGAGCTAGAGAGATGGAAGGTCACAGAGTTCAGACAGTTCTTGTTATACACCAGCAAAATTGTACTGAAAGGGATTCTACCAGTTGCGAAGTACAACCACTTTCTTACTTTGAGTGTTGCTATATCTATTTTGGTATCACCTCGACTTGCTGCTACGCATCTTTTGTATGCGCATGAACTGCTAGTCAATTTCGTTGCAGAAGGCCGTGAACTTTATGGACCGAATTTCCTACTGTATAATGTTCACTCAATGTTGCACCTCGCCAATGACGTGCATGAACATGGAAGTCATGATGAATGCAGTGCTTTCCCCTTTTTACTTGCACCGGCTAAAGCGCCTAGTTTGCTCCGGAAAAAAATCCATTGGTACAAATTGTAAAACGAGTAAGTGAGCATGCATGCGTTGGTGAAGAAATCATCACAACTCGTCCTCGTACAATATCGATGGAACCACCTAACAATGCATTCGAACATAACGTTAGATGCTGTGAGGTTCTCAGTCAGGCACACACTGAATGTGGAACTAGGATGTACACGTGCAGGGTATTCAGAGCACCTGAGCCAGTGTTTAGAGTGCCATGTGACTCTAGACTAGTAGGAGCGTTCGTCGTGAACAACCGACGAAGCACCATCAAAATATTGGAAATATCTGAAATGAGGGCGATAAAAATTAGTAACAGAAATGAAACGTCGACCTTCATGGCGATTATGCACGATTTTTAAGGTGTGTACTAATGCTGGGACAAATTATATCCTGTTCACAAATTTTCCGTGACCTTTAACAGAATCTACCACTGTTACAGCAGACCATTACTGGCATATATATATATATATATATATCCCACTGGAAATATGTAGTTATGGAAGTATGTGTTTTTATACTAGTAAGAGGACTCATGGTATTGCAAGTTCTAGGGATGATGTAGATTTCTGTAATGTTTTTGGCTTAACATAGCTGTGTTTGAATTGTGTTTCCTCCATGATGTCGCAGTTTCACAGGTGAGGCGTTTGTGGATGTAAGCCTGCATAAAACAGATGCTAAGCTAAAGGCTCTGACTAGCGTCGATTAGAAAAATTGTGTTTTGCTTGCTAGTGACACTGCTGTGTTACCAGAGCTGTAGCCTGTGGGGGCAATGGGGCTGTGGGGGCAGCTGCCCCCTAGATTTTGGAGCACAATTAAAAAAATAAGCTTAGCTAATATTAAATCGTCAATAACCCTAACGTGATTTCTTTGTTCACCGACTTGAAGCCGTGAAAGCCTCGTCTCAGACCCAACCCAACCACACTATGGACGTAGATCAAGAGCTGCGCCCGTCGCTCATCATTACACAGTTGTCATGAAATTGTGCCCCCCCCCTAAGAATTTGCTCAGCCTACGGCCCTGGTTACTATTTGTGTGGGTCTCCGGCTGAATATCCAACTATAGCAGTTGCTAAATATTACTTTATCGTTGCAGAATGTCTCGACCCCAGAGAGAGAGTACGCAGTGGTAGAATTTGTTGGAGAGGAGACAATCGCCGCTGTACCATGTTCATGGATAGTAGAGGTCAACAATTTCTCATAACAATTGAGTGATGCTTGAAAGCTGTCAATATAGAACTATTTTATTTCAGTGTGCAGGTTCTGTTTCAATGACCGTTGAAAATGCATAGTTTTCAGATTGAAACGAAAATAATTTAGGTTATCCGTATTACTTTTCCTTAAAACTTGCCTTTAAAGCCCTGTCTACACTAGCAAACTTTAGTTTGCAAACTCGAGCAAACTCCGAGTTTGGCAAGAAAAGTTTTCCAAAGTTTGCCAGTGTAGACCAGTTGACAAACTTCGGCAAACTAGTTTGCAGATGTTAGGCCGTGCACCTTCTTGACAAACTAGTTTGCTGAGGTTTGGAATAACTCAGCCAATCAAGTGACAGTTTGTAGTCATGTGATCCTGCAGATGGACAAAATGGCAGCCTCCAGTAAAGAAACGAAATCAGACAGGGACTGGAGTGTCCAAGAAATTGTTGATTTAATTCAAGAGTATGAAAAGTATCCATTGTGTATCTTCCTTCTGTATTAGTGGTGCTACCCTGTTCAGAATTTCGTTGAATGAGACTTCATCCATCTTCAGGAAATTCTTTAGGCTTTTTCTGTCTGAGGCCCTCAATCCCTGAAGCAGGCAATGATAGGCCCCAAACTGGTCTCTTTTCATAATCCAGGGTCTGGTCCATAAACGTGGCTTGTTTTGTTTTCGGTGAAGACGGCGGCGTCGAATAGCAATTGCAATAATTGCTGCTGAGCTACTCACACATACTCTATTCCTGTGATTCTCCATTGTTCTTGACTTATTGGAGGGAAATCGCCTCTTTTTCCCTCCAATTTATGTAAACTTTCAGAAACTTCACAAAATAAACGTTTTGCAAAAAAAGTTTGTTCAAGTTCCATAGTGTAGACAGGCACCAAAAACTTCTCCAAACTTTGGCAAACTCGGAGTTTGCTCGAGTTTGCAAACTAAAGTTTGCTAGTGTAGACAGGGCTTTAGGAGATTTCCTGTTACTGGCCACCATCCAATATAAGCAGGAGAGTGCAGCGGAAGGAGCTACCAGACACAGAACATTGGAGAAAATATCGTATAACGATTTTCTGCTATGCAGGTGAGTACTAACTAATTTTATGATTACATGCATGATTGCCAACATTAAGTTATATTAAGTTAAGAGTGAGATTATGGGAGGGAGCAGAGCGACCGAGCGGGCGGAGGGTCCCTCCCTCCCACATCAGGGAGCTTTTGCATTTTTCAGCTTAAGATTGTGCATTCTGGTGCATACGTTAGTGAGTTTTTAAACATACACATGTATGTAATGCAATACACGGTAGTTCTGCTTTTAAATCGATTAGGTACAAAACACTATATATATCTACACCATACACATATATATATATATATGTGGATAGCTTTTGTTGTAAACGTTTTTGTTTGTTTATGCGTGAGAATTAACAGACCCAGAGTGAGAGCGTGAGATTAGCCTCAATTGTCTCGGGTCGAATGCGTGGCAGTTGGCAGCCCTGTTATAATATGGTGTTTAGTAATATAGTCTCGGCATAACCACAAGTGGTCTAATGTTAGTGTTGCTTTCTTGCTCACAATAATGTATAGATAATATCGAACAAGCCCTCAGACGGGCGAATAGGGCTGAACTCACCTCAGCATGTGAGTCCAACCGGTCAGGGACGAAACGAAAGGTATCAAAACCAAGCCGCTACAGCTCTGCCGCCACAAGCACTGAAGGCGATGAGGAGGATGGTATGTTGGCAATACATGGTAATAGCTGTTATTTTTTATATAATAGTTAATTGTTTTTCTTGTGTAGAAGTACGAATTTGATATGTGACTTCGAATGTATTTCAATGTGCCACTATAAAACATTAATACAATGACTGCACTGATATATGTGTATATTAGTATATGAATGCAATGGTGCTGACAAATTTAATATATTAAATGTAATTCAGAAAACCTGAAATATTGTTATCTGAAACTCCTGAAGCGACATCGAAAGGAAACTGTACAAGCACTAATATACTTTTCTATGAATATCCTATATATACCAATCATGCACCACTAGCTAATTACTTCTTGTTAGCTCATGGTGAAAGAGAGAGGACTAGTTGCTTACTTAGTCATGCAACTATACTAGGTGATAGATGGTTAAAACAAATGTAGGTTCATTAGGATGGAGGTGGGGTAATGGTTTATCATAATTACCATTTTTTTACCTGTGAGGCTTGTATATGAGTTCTGCCTACTCCATTGTTTTTCCTGAGCACATGCACTCAGTAAATTTTTGGGTTACACCGAAATAACACGTGCATGTTCATTTTTGTTTAGGTGGCACGCCAGTTTCTTTGCCTGCAGCACCATTGTATGGTAGATGGATACATAAATGTTTTATGATTATCTGATTTCCTTCTCACGTATTGACTAAATTCATGCTAGAAGTAATGCTCGAAGTGGAAGTGCAGTGTGTGTGACTTTTTAGTCTTAAATCGCCTGCTTCAACTTCATGGTGAATGCGATAACAAAGGTGCTATGAAAGTAATTGAATGTTATTTCATTAGAGTGCGAAGCAGGTCCAAGTTCAGAGGTGAACTCTGTTTGGGTGAAAATTCCGGAGGAGGACACCGCAGCAGCATATCATTCAGGTACCAACTTTTAAAATACCTGCCGAATACGTTGCTTTATTTATCCGGAAGACTGCTAAACATGATTTAACAACATAATTTTTTTACCTAGTGTGTTAACAGGCTTTGAGCAACAGAGCCTTGCGATGATGGACAAAATAATGAAAAATACCGAGAAAATGCTGATTCAGCAAGGGGCCCTGCCCTGCTGAAGGCATTCAGCGACCTTCGTGGACAAGAAGCCGTGGACATTGGGGCCATCATAGATGCTCCTCTAACAACGCAATTGGAGTTTGGCATACTGGAAGAACCCCTAGCAGAAAAGGAATTCTGCAAGCAAATGGCATGTCATATCATAATTCTCCCTTCTTGGAAAATGTGCTCACAAAATCACAGCTTCATAAAACATAGTCTTAATCGGTAAATACTGCAATATATGTGCGTGCGTGCCTTGACAAAGTAGAATTTCTTATGTAACAACATGGAAGCTATAGGAGGACAGTACTAATCAAAAGCTATACTTTTGCAGAGTTACAGAAAGAGTTAGAGGAGCTAAAGAAGAACAACGAAAGGTGGATCGCCATCAGACCGATCACCGCCGGTGAGCTGGTCCAGCAGCTCAGGAAACAATACAGTGCCACCGGAAGCCCAGCGTAGGGAGTGGCGCTACAACAGGACCTAATACTGAGCTCTCGCTCAGAAGAAACATCCTCGGACGAGGAAATCTGAAGGACCTCGATCGGCTCTTCCCTCGGGATGGTCTTTTGTTTTGTTCAGCTCAGATGTTTTTGTAGTTACATTTTATAATCTTTAGAAAGGTATATAACCCGAGACCGTTACATCAATTATATTTTATAATCTTGAAAACCATAAATAACCTTATATCGTTGACACGTTTATATTTTATAACCTTGAAAAATATATATATAACCTTACACTTTTAATTTTAAAAACGGGTATATTTAGTACACTTGGAAGAAAAAAATAAGAAGTTTTATTAAAAGATTTATGATCTTTATCAAACAACTCTTAAATCGCATAATTTACGGGAAGGAACTCAAAGTAATCTGCATCCGAGGGCGGATGCTAGAGAAAGTGAGGAATGTAGAGCTTTCGGTTACAGCAAAGCCTATATTTCAAACCACAACACACGATTTCGAGTAATTTCGACCCAACAGTTCTGTTTATATTTTGGATGTAATGTTTATTGAGTTGTAGGTAATAAATCATAGCCATAGGTAAACTATGATGTATTAACTCGATCGCTTAGATTTATTTTATTGAGTTGGACGTAATATTAATAAATCATAGCCATGGCATAGGTAAACTAAGGCAATCAGTGTATGATTGTATTAACTCGCTCGCTTAAATTTATTTTATTGAGTTGCAGGTAATATTATTATTAACAAATCATAGCCATGGCATAGGTAAACTAAGGCAAGCAAATGTTTAATTTCGTGTTTTGAGCGTGTCTAACTCCTGTACGTATTAACTCGCTTAGATGGGACTGTTATCACCAGCGATAAATATTTGCGTTGGTTGCGATGTTTACACTAGGTGCTCCGCATTTTGCGCGATTCGCATTTTCTGGTAGCTCCGACTACCGGACGTCCTGCTTATTTAGGTCAACTGATTTCGCGTACTTCTCGTGGCGGTGTCTATGCTGTGAGGGTGCCTTTTCAGGTGCTCCCGGTTAATCCAGTCCAACCGCTCAGAACCCCTGGAAATGGGTACCCGTATCTGTTGATGTAATTTGATGTGAGGTCCGTGACGTATCCGAGGAAAGGCTTCAGCGTTTTTCTACCATACGCTACCATGTCTACGTGAGTAGAGCATGGCTACATGCGTAGCGAATAAAATGGCTGGTATGAACTGCAGCCTGAGTCTTCTTATTTTTCCTCGTCTCTGCGGGCGCACATCACAGTAGAAAAATGCTGCCATGAAATCTACCTATCCTTTCATCCTAATCAACCGGACGTAGGCATGTTCAACACTTCAAGATGGCTGAAGCAAGATCAGAACGGACAAAGGCGAAACGTGCCCTGACAAAAGAAGTCAATTACACGCGCCAGTGTTTAGCGGAAGACATGTTAGATTGCCTAGACAAACAGTGTCTGGCGTTAAATACTCAATTTCAGAAGTTTACCGATATACATAATGTTTTTCATGATGCTCTTGTCCGCGATGCCGATATTGATGATAGCGAAGATTACTATTATAAGGAACATGATAATTATATTAAGGTTTTGGAACAGGTAAAATCCACCTCAGGAAATGTAAGTGGCCCAGTGAAGGCAGAATTAGAGCAGGGATCTGCGACCGGTGGTCCCCAAACAAAGTTCAGCAATTGGCAGATGATTTAAGAAACGCAGAGTTGATTTTGAATCAGTTGAACATGCTTGCTGAACTCAGCTCACAGTCCACAATCCTTGATGTTGCCTATCGCTTACAGCCATATGTCCAGATAATGTGGAAGAATCGTGCACTGGAAATTAAGAGAGCAAAAAGGTATTATCCTGCTTTCGCAGATTTGGTAAAGTGTGTTGCAGAACGGGCTCTAGAGAGTAATGATCCGGTATATGGGGTTTTATCATTGAAAAGGGAAACCGCAGGTAAATCCAGAATCCAATTTTTACGTCTCATGCAATGTATGCCAATGCAGGTGGTAATGGTAATTCAGCTAGTGCCCCAGCTATGCGCTATAATGCAAATTATGCTAGGCCACAGCCAGCTTGTGTTCTGTGTAGTGAATATCACAGGTTGTGGAATTGCGAGTTGTTTATACGTATGTCACTTAGGCAGCAGATAGATCTGGTTAAGAAGTATAGATTGTGTGAAAACTGTCTTCTACCTTGGCATAGCGCACAATATTGTAGGAAAAGATCAGTGTGTTCTGTCTCAGGTTGTGGAAAGAAACATACGAAGTATATTTATAATGATGATGATCAGGCAGTATCTGTAAACCAAAGCAGAAGTGTGTCAAATGCAAGTATGTCTTCGGATAGAGAAACATATATGCCCATTGTACAGGTATTGGTTAACAATGAAGTCCTAGTCAATGCTCTACTAGATACAGGTTCTAGCAACTCCTCCTGTTCGAGTAGTTTGGCTAATCAGTTGAACTTGACATGTCGGACAGTGTCATATCATTTAAGTACTTTGCGTAAGTCTGCTCCAACGAAGTATCAGATGGTGAATTTATCACTGTCATCCGATAATGGTGAAAGTATAGACATGTCTGGTGTATATGTGATTGAGAGAATACCTGTGAAATCTGCCCACTTAGATGTTAAAGCATATAAGCATTTGGTTGACATTGATATGGCATCTTGTGAAGATGTATATGGGGTTGACATGTTGATAGGGCAAGATCATACTGAGGCCCTTATTCCACTTGAGGTACGTAAAGGTGGCCGAGGTGAGCCCTTCGCTGTTAGAATGCTTTTTGGTTGGTGTATCAACGGTTAATCTCCAGTTGGTAAGATCGGTCGCACAGTTGTATCACATTTTGTAAGTGCTTTGTCTGCTCCAATTGTTGATGACATACATGCACTGTGGAAGATCGAGAATGAGGGTATGAATGAGATCGGTTGGTCACGTGAGGATAAATCGGTTATCGATCTTTGGGATAGAGAATGTGTCATGAAAGATAGACATTTTGAACGTCCCATCCCTTGGAAAGATAGAGAGGAGCCATTACCCAATAACTATGCTTTAGCAAAGTTTGCAGTCTACGGTTAAGAAAGGTATGATGCCGAAATCAGTAAGTTAGTTTCTGAGGATTATGCAGAGGTTATTCCGCAAGATCAAATACATACAGCTGATCGAGTTTGGTATCTGCCACATCATTCAGTCGTCACTGAGAAGAAACCTGACAAAATGAAAGTGGTGTTTGATTGTGCGGCCAAGTTTAAGGGTAGATCACTCAACGAGAGGTGTAAACAGGAACCTGATCTAGTAAACAAGTTGTTGCATATTTTGTTACGTTTCAGACAGCATAGATATGCAATCCAGGCAGACATTGAAGCGATGTATCATCAAGTAAAAATTCCATCCAAGGACAAGGATGCGCTCCGGTTTTTGTGGTATTGTAATGGGCAAAAGAACGTAGTCAGCTATCGAATGATGTCACATTTATTTGGTGGTGTCTGGTGTGCCAGTTGCTCGGCTTATGCTTTGATACGCACTATAACAGAAAACAGGGGCCGTTTTGCAGATACGTTAGACTCTGTTGAAAAGTCATTTTACGTGGATGATTTCTTGATGTCGCTCAGTTCTCGGCATGACGTCATGGTTGTATTAGAACAGGCGCCATTATTACTGCGTGAAGGGGGTTTCAATCTGACAAAATTTTTGTAAATGACAGTCAGTTGCTAGTAACAGTACCAGAGTGTCACAGAGCCAAAGAGGTAAAGCATATTTCTCTAGAAGCTTCTGGAAAAGCACTCGGTGTCAAATGGATTTTCATGGTTGACGTATTTGCTTTTGAGGTCAATGTCAAGGTCGAACAGCAGGTTACTCGCAGGAAAATGCTGAGCATGATAGCCTCTACGTACGATCTGTTGGGGTTAGTTGGTCCGCATGTCCTTTTGGGGAAGTTTATATTTCAGGATGCAACTCGCCTCAGATATGATTGGGATCAAGACGTTTCTTCTCAGATTTCTGGACAGTGGCACAAATGGATAGTGTCGTTAGATCTCTTGAATCATGTCCAGGTTCCTCGGTGTGTAAAACCGCCAAATTTTGAATACACAGTCGTTGAACTGCATCATTTTTCAGACGCCAGTCAACCTGCTTACGGGTCGTGCACTTACCTCAGGTGCGTGAACAAGGTTGGATGTGTTCATACACAGTTGATAATGAGCAAGAATAAAGTGTCACCCATTAACCAGTGTAGCATTCCACGTCCTGAGTTGTAGGCTGCAGTATTATCAGCTAAAGTAGATGTACTTCTTAGAAATGAGTTCGAGTTTCCGGTGGATCAATCTTATTTCTGGGTAGATTCAGAGATGGTCCTGGCATACATTACTAGTTACACGAGACGTTGCCAGGTGTTCGTGAAGAACAGAGTTGGCATCATCCGACAATTGACAGATCCCAAGCAGTGGTTTCATATTGCCGGTCGGAATAATCCTGCTGACATTATCAGTAGAGGTCATATACTTGATCAAGATACGTGTAAGTTGTGGTTCCAGGGGCCCCGTTTCTTGAGGCAATACAAAAGTGAGCGGGATCTGGGTAATAGCCCTTGTGCAGGATAGACAAAAGTTCTGGATAGTGCGAGCTCGACCATTGATTAAAAGGGTTATTCGGTCCTGTATTACCTGCAGGAAGTTATTTGCTAAACCCAGATGCCAGATCATGGCCGGTCTTCCACTGGATAGAGTAGATAGTGA